TTCGTTTAAAGAGCTTGCAGGAGCTTCACGGCTGGAAGGCGGGTCGTTTTCAAAATGCGGTTATCGCCCCAGCGCCGCGCACATTCGTTGTGAACAGTTGGCAATCATTTCACAAATGGAGGGCGGGTCGTTTTCAAAATGCTGTTCTCGCCCCAGCGCACATTCATGTGAACAGTTTGCGACATTTCCACGGATGGAGGGCGGGGGCGGTTTCGTTTCAACATGTGGTTCTCACGCACACTCTTTCTAAACATGTGCAGCAGCTTCACGGAGGGCGGGTTGTTTTCAAACTGTGGTTCTGCTAAGCGCTGCGCGCATTCGTTGTAAAAGTTTGAAAGGGCTTCCCGGGTAGATGGCGGGTCGTTTCAAAATGTTGTTCTCGTTTTAGCGCGCCGCGCGCGCATTCTTCCGAACAGTTTACGGCTACGGCTATTGAACGGAATCGCATGGCTGGCGTCCCAGGAATGGTGCCCTGGAGCGGCTCAGGAGTGTCAGGGTGCAGGGCGCAACTGTCAACACATTGATTCGTGGGGATGAAATCCCAGGAATGGTGTTCTGGCACGATTCAGGATCGTCAAGGCGCAATAGTCAGGTTTATTCGTGGCGTTGGGGTCCCGGTGGTGTCTTGGCACGCTTCAGGATCTTCAACAACGGTTGTCTCCCATCGGGGCATTTCCTTCAGTGCAACTGGATCCTTGTATTGGGGCCTTTTGAAGAGAGAGAGAGAGAGAGAGAGAGAGCTTGGAGGGAGGTTTGTTTAGTGCAACATCGTTGATGCGCCTTGGGTTTACACTGGTCCTCCTCTTCCTCCTCTTTTCCCCCTCCTCCTTCTCTCTTCTCCTCCCCCTCCTCCTCCTCCTCCTCCTCCTCCTCCTCCTCCTCCTCCTCCTCCTGGTCCCACTCTTCTCCCATTCTTTTCACTTATGGAAAATTCCTCCATGTTGCACACGGACTGTCAACAACTTCACACATGGAGGGCGGGTGGTAATGAGGCATTCGCCTTAGCGCCGTGTGCACCTCGTCTTGGCAACTGCACAAGCTTCATGGATGGAGGGCGCGTCGGTTTCAAAATGTGGTTATCGCCTTGGCGACAAGCACGTTCGTTTTCATCAGTTGCAGAAGTGTAGCGGATAGAGGGCGGCTCCTCTTCAATCTGTGGTTCTCGCCGCAGCGCCGCGCACATTCGCTTTAAACATGTGCACGAGCTCCACGGACGGAGGGCGGGCTGTTTTTCCAAAATGTGGCTCTCGCATTGGCGCCGCGCACAATCGTTGTAAACAGGTGCAAGAAAAATTGGTTGATGGCGGATCGTTTTCAACATGCTGTTCTCGTTTTCGCTTTCCCTCCGAGCTTACTCGTTTAAAAGACTTGCAAGAGTTTCACGAAATCCCATAGTCAATGTACCCGATTTTTCGTGTTCGAAGGATTCAGGATTGTCAGGGCGCAGTTGCGTTTATTCACGGTGTTGAAGTCCCCGGAATGGTTTTTTTGGGGCGCGATTCAGGATCGTCAGGACGACAATCATATTGATTCGTGGCGTTGGGGTCCCGAGAGTGATGTTTTGGCACGCTTCAGGGTCTTCGAACGGTTATCTTCCAATGGGGCACTTTCCTCCCTGTAGGGACCTATGAAGAGGGAGCTTGGAGGGAGCGTGTATTCTAATATCGTTGGTGATTCTTCGTTTGCACTGGCCCCTCTGCCTCCTCCTCCTCATCCTCCTCATCCTCCTCCTCCTCCTCCTTGCCCGTCCTCCCTCCGTCTCCCTCTCCTCCCCCTCCTCACTCAACGACCTGAAGGCCTTGACGCGGCGGCTGGACGGCGAGAAGCGAGGCGCCGGGGTCGAGACTTGGAACTCCGACGATATGTTTTTCAATCCGGGCGTTTCTCCTTCGTTTCGGCCTCCAGGGTCGTTGTCGGGCCCCAGGGCCACAAAAAAGATGGATCGGGGGCGAAACAATGCCCCCTGAGTACGCTTTGGGTGAGCTTTCTGGGGACAGCGCTGCCCACGCGGTGTGCCCTGGAAGAGAGCGGGCGCGCACTGCGAGGGCACGCGAGGCTCACGGGAGGGGCACGGGAGCTGCATTGACACAGGACTTTGTCGTGAGGGAGCCATTCACGCATAGAGCAAGAGCTTCCAAGGCGAGCAGGCAAGCCCAATCAGGGAGCAGCAGGGGGCCTCAAGAAGCCTGAAGCAGGCAGTCGGAACCCGTTGCTTCTCTGCCCGTCGGGCTGCCTTTTGGTGTTGCCTTCGGAGGGTCTGTCAGGTCACGCGCAGGGGCGCGGAGACGATCGCGCTCCACGAGTCGTGGCCCGGGCCGCAGAGGTGCCACTCTCCATTGCGGCGGCGCGAGCCGCGCGACGTCGGGTGGCCCAGAGTATGCCTGGCTGCTCTTGGCCCAGAGTCGGCGGCGCGCCTCGGGGTCCAGGCAGAGAGGGCGGGCCAGGCGGCGGGGCTTCTCGGAAGCCCTCGCGCCTTCTGAGGAGCCGCCTGCGGCCTCGGAGGAGGCTCCGGAGGCCCCACAGCACGGCGGGGGGGTTCTGGGCAGCCCCCGCCGCCTTCTGGGAGGGCCTCCCCCCCCCTGCCCTCCCCTCCCGGGCGCGCCTCCGACAGAGTCGAGAGAAAACGCAAACATGGACTGAGGCGAGTGGATTTGGGACGAGGCCCGCTTCCAGAGCAGATGGGCGCGCTCCGTCGCCAAATCAGGCGGCACTGGCGACATGTCTTCGGTGGCCACTCGCTTAGATCTGTGGATCCTCAATCCATGTTGGGGCGTGCCCGACGGAGGGTGGCCAACCGATCATGGGGCGAGGCCTCAACAAGAACTCGGCGCTCGCGGCGCTGCTCGTCACCGTCTGCCGGCGCGTGCTGCCCGCGCGCCAGGTCGACCCCTCCGAGCTGGGGTCCGTGCCGCCCTCGCACGACGGCTACCTACAGATCCTGGACTTCTACTTCTTCTCCGACGCGGGGCAGTACTGCTTCGGGGAGCACTTCTCGGGGCCGAACTGGTTCACGCGCCTCAAGAGGAACATGGCGATCCTCGCGGTAGAGGACGCCTCCGGGCGCGGCATGTACGCCGGGGAGACATTTCCACAGTGCGAGCACCCTCTCCCCGCGGCCCCTGCGCACCCCGCTCTCCTCGGCGGACGCCCCAGCTCCCAGTGCAGAGCGAGGCCCGCCGTGCCACCGCCCGCTGCATGAGGGCGCTGCGGCAGGCGGCCCCCGCGGGGGGGAGTCTCCTCTCGCCTCAGGGGGTGGCTGGGATCCTCCTCGCTTTGCCAGCTGGGCGGCGCGAAAGAACGGGGCTCGTCCGCACCGACATTGGCGCGGAAGCTGCCCGCGCAAGGTCGCGCGCAAGCGCCTGCAGCTCCAGTGCGGCGCGCTGCGCTCGCGGCCCCCGTAAGCCGCGGCGTAGGGTCGCTGTGCCATCCCGCGTAAGATCCGTGTCATTTCGTCGCTCAGCGGACGATTGGCCATTCTCGAGTCACGAGTTCTCCTTCTCGCCCGCCCTCCTTGCCTGGGCCGCACGCTGGGGCGCGAAGTCAATCACGCTTCGCGCGTGGCGGTCTGGACTGGAGAGCTGGCCTTCTCCAGGGGAGCAGTGGGGGGGTGCGCGAGGGCGCGAAGATACGCCGCGCGTCGCGCATCGCGGGGCGCGATGCCTGGAGTTAGGCGGCCTAGTTGACTGAGGAGGGCAGGAGACGAGGTGAGAGGGAGAAGGTGGAAGCGATTACAGTCAAGACGCGGAAAGAAGGACCACTTTGGGTTTCAGGAGCGGCTCTGGCTTCTGGGCCGTTCCTTACAGATCTAGGCCGGGGAGCTTATTCGTGGCGGAGGCTCACCGTGGCCTCAGACAGCGCGTTCGCTCCTGATTCAGCCGTCCTCACGGCGGCACGACAGCCGTACTGCGGATAGGCTCCCTGGCTCCACCATACAGCGCCTTCGCCGTGAGCGGCGAGCACAAGACTCCTGGGGCACCGCAGGCGCCCATCTCTGGCCCCCTGCGGTCCATCGAGGCCGAGGACGAGCACGGAAGGTCGGGCGGGGCCAGGACAGGGTTGAGCCGTTCCAGAGCGTTCCGGGACGCTCTCAGAGCGTTCCGGCACGCTCTCGGAAGGCCGCGGCGACCGGTACACCCAGAACCGCCAGATCTCACAGATCCCCGATGCCGATTTGTCCGGGTCCGATGTTGTTCTTGTCCTGGCGTCGTCTTAAAAGGGTGTTCGACCGGCGCCACGACGCGGAGTTCAAGCTCCTCTCGATGATCATCATGACGTGTGTTTTGGGCCCAATGTGTCTTTTATCCCGCTCAGCTCCACCGACGGCACGCGGCCTGTGTCGGTCCTCCTTACACTGCCTGTGTTGTGTTGAAGGGTTTCAGTGGGCAAGCACACGTTGGCGTTAATACTCGTTCTGAGGATCATCGGCCCTCACGGGGCTGTGCACGGCGTTAGATGCGGAGGCGGGCCGCCCTGGCGCTCCGCAGGCGGGCCAGGGCGTCAGGGCCGTGCTCTGGTCGAAGAAGCCCCTGTGCCGCAGCTGCGTGGGGGCGGTGCAGCAGGTGCAGGGGCGCTTTCCCGCGCTCAAGCTCGAAGAACACAAAACGGCACAGACGTCATTTCTCTGAGGTCTGCGCGGATGTTTCTTGGAGCGGCGCTGGGCCCCCCTGGAGGCGCCTCTGGCGCCGCCCCTGGCGCGCTCCGCGCGCCAAGGAGGTGGGTCCAGTGCCAATACAAGAAATCCGCGCGGACCTCCGAGAAATTATGTTTATGTCCTTCTTTGTTCATCTACAAGCTGGAGGTTGTCGTGGGGGAGTCTCGCCGCGTCGACAGTGACAGAGTCGATGCGAGGAGCGGGCTCGAGGTAGGTGCAGGTGGCTCAGAATCCACGCCCGAGCTTGCACTACAAAGCGTATCATGTCCTGTCTTGCTCTCCTGCTCGTCCACCTCCTTCTCCACCCTCCTCGACTGCTCCTCCTCTTCCTCCTCCTCCTCCTCCTGATCCTCCGCATCGTCCTCCTTCCTCCTCATCCTCCTCCGCTCCTCTTCCTTACAATGAACGTCTCCTTATCGCACCACCAGGCGTGTCGCGTTAGACGTTAGGGCGGGCCGGGCGTTTCGCCTGAGGCTTCCCCACCGCGTACGGTTCGGAAATTTGGCATTTCCGACAGCTACGCAGATGGAGGGCGTGTTATTTTCATAGACTCTTGCCTTGGCGCCGCGCAGACTCGTCTTTCAAGGATCCAACGGTCAAGTGCCTGAAGGGCGAATCGTTTTTTTAGTGGCTCTCACCTTGGCGCACACGTCTTTCAGCAGCAGTCGCTGCGCTGATGGAGGGCTATTATTTTTTTCCAAGTGGGGTTCCCCCCTTGGCGCCATGCATATTCAAACACACACACACACACACACATATATATATATATATATATATATATATATATATATATATCGGAGGTGAGGGGGTGAGATCGAAGTGGAACGGAGAGCCCCCCTACCGGGAAATCGATTTCGGTTCTGTGTTCGTGCGTGCCGTGCGTGCGGGCGAGGCGAAGCTGCGTGGGCGGGCGAGAGGAAAGTCTCCTGTGGCTGAGGCGCGGCTGGACCAAATGATTCTCCCTTGGGCGGCCGGTGGCGCGCGTTGTCCCGCCGGTGTCCCGCCGGTGTCCCGTCGGTTCTCCTGTGGCTGAGGCGCGGCCGGACCAAATGTTTCCCTTCCGGGCGGCCGGTGGCGCGCGGTGTCCCGCCGGTGTCCCGCTGGTGTCCCGTCGGTGTCCCGTCGGTGTCCCGATGATGATGTGGATGATTATGATGATGATGGTGATGCTGATGATGGTGATGATGGCGATGATGATGATGTTGGTGTTGTTGATGATGATGATGACGTCGATTGTGAGATCGATTGTGATAGCGATAGTGAGACCGAATGTGAGATCGATTGTGAGATCGATAGTGAGATCGACTGTGAGATCGATAAGGAGATCGATTGTGAGATCGATAGTGAGACCGAATGTGAAAACGAATGTGAGATCGATAGTGAGATCGATTGTGAGACCGAATGTGAGACCGAATGTGAGATCGACTGTGAGATCGATTGTGAGATCGATTGTGAGATCGACAGTGAGACCGAATGTGAGACCGAATGTGAGATCGATTGTGAGATCGATTGTGAGATCGATTGTGAGATCGATTGTGAGACCGAATGTGAAACCGAATGTGAGATCGATAGTGAGATCGATTGTGAGATCGATAGTGAGATCGATAGTCAGACCGAATGTGAGACCGAATGTGAGATCGACTGTGAGATCGATTGTTAGATCGATAGTGAGATCGATTGTGAGATCGATTGTTAGATCGATAGTGAGATCGATAGCGAGATCGATAGTGATATTGATAATGAGATCGAATGTGAGATCGATACCGATATCGATTGAGTGAGACGTTGGTTCCCCCTCCCCCCTCACCTCCTTATCACCCGCAGGGTGGTCGTATATGTATATATATACACATATATATATATATATGTGGCGTGCTTGGTGTTCTCTGCGAGTAAGGACGGGAGGGCGCCGTTGCGACCGTGTTCGCGTTAATGCTCAAGCTTTTGGGGTGTCCCAATACCAGGGTTCCGCAACGGATCTTGGCTTGTGGGCGCCGTCACTCAGCTGCTGACTGCATACTGGTGGCGGACGCAACCGTGCCCACCTTGTCCTGGCTGCTCGAGCCTGGCGTATCCATCGTGTCCCTAGGCGAGCTGCCCGGCGTGCCCGAGCCTGCGGTGCCCAGAGGGGCTTCATCACTCGCAGGCCAGCGGCGACGTTGGCAGCGGCTCAGGCTCATCGCCTTCGGAGCCGCCCTCGCCTTCGGTGCCGGAGGCAGCCGCTGCGCCGGCGGCGAAGGCAGCGGCCGCGCCCTCGACGGCCTCCGAGGCGGCGGCGAGCGCCGAGCCCTCGGTGGGGACCTTGCTGGCCGAGCTGGTTTCCCTGTCGGCGCACCTGGTCCTCGCGGCGCTGCAGGCAGTTGCGCTGGTGGCGTACGGCGGCTACGGGGTGCTGATGTCCTGGTTCCAGACGCGGAGGCGTCGACAGCCTGCGCTGGAGGATGACCGCTCCTCCGGCAGACTTCCGCGCGTGGGAGTGGGTGTTATACGTCGGCGAGCGGCGGTGGCACCAGCGCCGCATCTGGGGCCGCCTGGTGGACCCGCCGACGGGTCCACAGAGGGGTCTGATGTTGATCAGTAGCACACCAGACCTGGACGTGTACGGGGAGAACTACAGCCGCGACAGTCCCGACATCCTGGCTGTGCGCTTCGGTGGTACGAGACGGGTTCACGTCGGCCTGGACCCAGCCCAGCTGTACGGCTTCCGACGTCGCCTCACGGCGGGAGAGGAAACCGCCATCTTGGCCGCCGCGGCCCTGGTGGCGGACGAGACCTGCATGGCGCGCGAGACGGCAGCAGGCCGCCCGGCGGTGCTGCCCGCTGGCGGGTCGTGGGTCGCGTTCGACTTCGGCCTGGATGGCGGTGGCGCTGGTGGTCCTGCCGCGGGAGGCGCTGTCGTGGCTGCTGGCGCGGATGCTGGCGGGGCTGCCGCTCTGGCTGGCTTGGGGCCTGCCCGAGGGCCTGGGCTACGGGCTGCGGGAGTGGGCGGCGCGGCCGCTGTGCCCGCAGGCGCTGGAGCGCCCGCGGCGGCGGCCGGAGCCTTTGCCGTGGCCGCCGCCCCGGCCCCTTTTGGCAGCCCCAGCCAGCCCCGAGTGGGTCATGACGGAGTCGACTGCTGCATGTGACCGAGGGACCACGGTGACCCGCAACGGGACCGAGAAGCTGGGAGGAGAAGGCGGCATCATGAGGACCGACAGAGGCTGGATCGGGATCCGCCTTATCGCGTTGAACCTGGCGTTGCACGCAGGGGCGGAGGCGGGGCCGGACGCGAGGCCGTTAGGCATCGCGCTGCAGTCGGACGGGCACAGGTCGAGAATCCACTTTCGAGACGCCGTAGTCAAGTTCGTTCAGGCCCCCTTGCCTGGCTGGCCCTTGGAGGGGCCGCGCTCGGCCTCCTGGTGCTTCGTGTTCATCGATCGTCGCCGGGGCGGGCCCCTCGAGCATTTCGGCCAGTTCAAGAGTCAGCACCATCTTGCGAACGACGGTTACGGTGTGGCCAAATATGAGAGCATCATGAACATGATTAGCTTTCTGGCGTGCTGGGATCAGGTGAACCTCCCCGACTTGGTCGGGGTGGAGATCGCGATGAGGCAGGCGCAGCTGCGCGAGCGCGCGACTGCTATGGATGCGGAGGGACGCCTGCACTCTGCGCCCCAAGCGTCGAAGGACAAGAACAAGATGGGGCGCGGCCGAGGTCGGAGGTTCGCGAAGTTCGCTTTCTTGGACGAAACCGCCGCTTTCACGGGCGCGTCGAAGGAGGGGGGGGATAATGCTGTGCCCTGACCTCCTGAGCCACGCGTCCGCCATGGTAAAGAGGGGCGCGGGCGCCCTCAAGTCGCGGCGGAAAGCGAGGGAGGAGCGCCGCGCCCTCTCAGGTCAATGAGAGTGACCTCGGGCGCGGCTTCCCTCGACCCGTCCGAGACGCAGCAGAGTGCGACTCCAGCTTCCCCGTTTGGGGCCCGCGATGTAAGTGGGGATTGTACTCTTCTACGCTGGGGTGGTCGCCAGCGTGACGTCTTCCCGATACCTCTTCGTCAATATCCTGTCTCTTCTTCTAACGTAGTCCCGAGTGGTAAGAACTTTTCTCGGTCAGCTGTGCGACGGTTTCAGGGGCGCCGCCGCCGAAGTGACATGGTGAATGAGATGATAGAGACTCTCAATGACATGTATCTGGGGGCGACCTTCCGCGTCGAGGTGCCGATCAGCCGCTGCTCGCTGTCCACGCCGAGGTCCGCCGCGAGCTGGGGGAGGCGGCCCGCCGCTTCGGAGAGCCCCCGGTGGACCTCGACCGCTCGGGAGCCCTAGCAGAGCTTCGGGCATCGCAGGCGCGCCGCAGGGGGGCCGTGGCGATCGCCCCGGTTGGCTTCGACGACGTCGACCGCATCTCTCTGCCTGCTGCTGCGACATCTCCTCGGAATGTGGAGTCGATGGCGGGCGACGCGGGCAGGGGAATCTTCGGCCGTTTGAATGATATGTTGTCACCCCGAGAACTGGGGTTGGAGCGCGTCCGCACTGGGGGGCCGCGTCGGCCATGCGCGGGCCCGAGCCCTCGCAAACCCAAGCTGTACCTGCAAGTGCTCCGTCGTCTGGTGGATTCGAACCGCGCGAGTCTCCAGCTGGACTGCGAGTGCTTGGCGGGGCTTTTCTGTGCTCGCGAGAAAAAACGGCGATCTGAGGATGATCTTGGATGGCCGCTACTCGTCATTACGCTTCTGCGAGGCCGACAAAGTTGAGCGCGCCTCCAGAGGCGCCCTCAGCCAGACCACTGGGCGGCGACGCGCCAGTCGATGCGGCAGGCGCGGACATAGCAGATGCATTATGCAACATCCTGTTGCCGCCGCGGTTGCAGACATATTTCGGTCTTCCTCAAATAAGATCTGGGGGCTTCAATCTGAGTCACAATGGTGATGGCATTCCCGCTCATCCTTCGCAGCGCGTCGTGCCTTGCTTGCGTTGCCTCCCCATTGATTGGTGTGTGAACCTTTGGGTATGTCAGACTCTCAGCGAGGCCGTCAGCTCCAGGGCCTGAGAGATTTCTACGCGCAACCTCCTAGTCGATCGTCGGCCTGCCCCGGGCCTGGCCCAGGATTTCATTCGCATGGAGCATGTGGACAAACTTACGTCCTCGTTCAGGTCCGAGAAGCGCGCGGGAGACACGGCGAGAGCCGTCGGTCGCGAGCTCAATTGCGTCGGCTTGCTGACTCACGAAGCGGAAGAGGGGGTGGGCGTGCAGGCGCTGCGATGGGAGTTTGGATCGTGCGAAGTTGTTCTTGGCCTGGATCCCCGACTGCGTTGGCTGTTGCGTTTGGGTAGACAAGAGATCCTCCGTCAAGATCGTTGTTCTGGTGA